AGTACTGTGTCGGTGTGTGTGTGCTGTGTGTGTGCTGTGTGAGTGGTACTGTGTGTGTGCTGTGTGTGTGTGCTGTGTGTAGTACTGTGTGTGTGCTGTGTGTGTGTGCTGTGTGTAGTACTGTGTGTCTGTGTGCGTGTAGTGTAGCGGGTAGCGCTCCGTTGCGCTCAGAACCTGGCGACCCGAGTTCGATTCCCGCTCACAGCCAACACCGCCAGTGACGATTATCTGAGCTGGTCCCGGGCCTCCCCTAGGTCGACTCAGCCTCAAATGTGTACCTGGTGCGGTGTGTAGTAAACATCGCTACTAGAGAGACAAAGGCGGCCGGGCGTGGTGTGGGCCACCGACTCCCACGTGTGCCGTGCCGGCCTTCATAGGTGCTGCTCGCTAACAGCACTTGCCCCCTAGTCTGTTACAGGCTACACGGGGGATCTTTGCCTTTGTGGTATCCGAACCGGTGCTGGGTCTCCCCAAGGTCGACTCGACCCGAAGCGAGTGCGAACCTCGGCGCCGCGTTGAACATCAACCACTGGGGGGGGAGATACAAAGGCGGTCCGGGCAAGGCTGCTCGCCCACAGCGACGAAGCTGCAGCCTTGGTAGGCCGCTGCGACCGGCCGAGCACTTGCCCCACCCTGGCAGTGTTGTTACAAGGCTACCCGGGGCCTCTTTGTCTTTGTTACGTGTCACTTTGTGTGTGTCTTTGTGTGTGTGTGTGCGTGCGTGTGTGTCCGTGTCCGTGTGTCTCTTTGTCCGTGTGTCTCTTTGTCCGTGTGTCTGTGTCCGTGTGTCTCTTTGTCCGTGTGTCTCTCTGTCTGTTTGTCCGTGTGTCCGTGTGTCTCTTTGTCCGTGTGTCTCTTTGTCCGTGTGTCTCTGTGTCCGTGTGTCTCTGTGTCTCTTTGTCCGTGTGTCTCTTTGTCCGTGTGTCTCTTTGTCCGTGTGTCTCTGTATCTGTTTGTCCGTGTGTCCGTGTATCTCTTTGTCCGTGTGTCTCTTTGTCCGTGTGTCACTGTGTGTTTGTGTGTCTTTGTGTGTGTGTGCGTGCGTGTGTGCGTGTGTGTCCGTGTGTCCGTGTCCCTCTGTGTCCGTGTGTCTCTGTGTCCGTGTGTCTGTCTCCGTGTGTCTCTGTGTCCGTGTGTCTCTGTGTCCGTGTGTCTGTGTCCGTGTGTTTCTGTGTCTCTATGTCCGTGTGTCTCTTTGTCCGTGTGTCTCTTTGTCCGTGTGTCTCTTTGTCCGTGTGTCTCTGTGTCCGTGTGTCTCTGTGTCAGTGTGTCTGTGACTCTTTTTCCGTGTCTCTGTCTCTTTGTCCGTGTGTCTCTTTGTCCGTGTGTCTCTGTGTCCGTGTGTCTCTGTGTCTCTTTGTCCGTGTGTCTCTGTGTCCGTGTGTCTCTGTGTCCGTGTGTCTGTGACTCTTTTTCCGTGTCTCTGTCTCTTTGTCCGTGTGTCTCTGTGTCCGTGTGTCCGTGTGTCTCTGTGTCCATGTGTCTCAGAGACACACGGACACGGTGTCCGTGTGTCTCTGTGTCTCCGTGTCCGTGTGTCTCCGTATCCGTGTGCATGTGTGTCTGTGTCCGTGTGTCTCTGTGTCCGTGTGGCTGTGTCCGTGTGGCTGTGTCTGTGTCCGTGTGTCTCCGTGTCCGTGTGTCTCTGTATCCGTGTGTCTCTGTATCCGTGTGTCTCTGTGTCCGTGTGTCTCTGTGTCCGTGTGTCTGTGTCCGTGTGTCTCCGTGTCCGTGTGTCTCTGTATCCGTGTGTCTCTGTGTCCGCGTGTCTTTGTTATCTCTGTGCGCGTGTGTATGTGTGTATTTGTGTCCGTGTGTCTCTGTGTCCGTGTGTCTCCGTGTGTCTCCGTGTGTCTGTGTCCGTGTGTCTCTGTGTCTCTTTGTCCGTGTGTCTGTGTCTCTTTGTCCGTGTGTCTCTGTGTCCATGTGTCTCAGAGACACACGGACACGGTGTCCGTGTGTGTCTGTGTCCGTGTGTCTCCGTGTCCGTGTCTCCGTGTCCGTGTGCATGTGTGTCTCTGTGTCCGTGTTGCTGTGTCTGTGTCCGTGTGTCTCCGTGTCCGTGTGTCTCCGTGTCCGTGTGTCTCTGTGTCCGCGTGTCTTTGTTATCTCTGTGCGCATGTGTATTTGTGTCCGTGTGTCTCTGTGTTCGTGTCCGTGTGTCTCTGTGTCCGCGTGTCTCTGTGTCCGCGTGTCTCTGTGTCCGCGTGTCTCTGTGTCCGCGTGTCTCTGTGTCCGCGTGTCTCTGTGTCCGCGTGTCTCTGTGTCCGCGTGTCTCTGTGTCCACGTGTCTGTGTCTGTGTGTCCGTGTCCGCGTGTCTCTGTGTCCGTGTGTCTGTGTCCGCGTGTCTCTGTGTCCGTGTGTCTGTGTCCGCGTGTCTGTGTTATCTCTGTGTGCGCGTGTCTGTGTTATCTCTGTGTGCGCGTGTGTATGTGTGTCTCTGTGTCCGTGTGCCTGCGTGTCTGTGTCCGCGTGTCTGTGTTATCTCTGTGTGCGCGTGTCTCTGTGTATCCGTGTCGGTGTTACAGGTACAGTACTGTCCACAACATTCCAGCGGAAGGCAGAGGAGCGACGCTCACAACAACGAGCGGAGCGGCCGGGCGGATAAAACTCATCAAGGTTGTCAGAGTGGGGAGCACAGTTGGTGGTGCATCTACCGATCAACTCAGTCGACTCATGCAGGGTCTGTTCCGTCACCTCCTGCCAGCAGAGAGCCCTCGACACTTCACGTGGCGTCACGGTGCACCTAGCCTGGCACAGGCGCCGTGGTGACGTCACCGCCACTGAGTGGTGTGTCTCTGTGTGTCCTCTCGTTAAAAGCACTTGCCCCAATCGTCTGTTAAGGCTATCCAGGGGATCTTTGTCTCTTCCCCCGTGCATGTCCCTGTGCGTGTCTGTCGCTGTACGTGTCTGTCCGTGTGTACATCTGTCCTGTGTGGATAGACGTCTCCTATTGCTCTGTGTCTTCGTGTGTGTGTCCATGTGTCTGTGTGTCTATGTGTCTCCTGCGTGTCTATCGCTCGCTGTCCCCTATCTGTGTATCCATGTATCCCACGTGTCTCTCGTGTGTCTCTCTGTGTGTCTATCACCACTGTGTGTCTCCGATCTGTCCATGTCTCCCACGTGTCTCTGTGTGTCTATCACCACTGTGTGTGTCTCCGATCTGTCCATGTATCTCACGTGTCTCCCACGTGTCTCTGTGTGTCTATCACCACTGTGTGTGTCTCCGATCTGCCCATGTCTCCCACGTGTCTCTCGTGTGTCTCTCTGTGTGTCTATCACAACTGTGTGTGTCTCCTATCTGTCCATGTCTCCCACGTGTCTCTCTGTGTGTCTATCACCACTGTGTGTGTCTCCGATCTGTCCATGTATCCCACGTGTCTCCCACGTGTCTCTGTGTGTCTATCACCACTGTGTGTGTCTCCGATCTGTCCATGTATCCCACGTGTCTCCCACGTGTCTCTGTGTGTCTATCACAACTGTGTGTGTCTCCTATCTGTCCATGTCTCCCACGTGTCTCTCTGTGTCTATCACAACTGTGTGTGTCTCCTATCTGTCCATGTCTCCCACGTGTCTCTCTGTGTGTCTATCACCACTGTGTGTGTCTCCTATCTGTCCATGTCTCCCACGTGTCTCTCTGTGTGTCTATCACCACTGTGTGTGTCTCCTATCTGTCCATGTCTCCCACGTGTCTCTCTGTGTGTCTATCACCACTGTGTGTGTCTCCTATCTGTCCATGTCTCCCACGTGTCTCTCTGTGTGTCTATCACAACTATGTGTGTGTTTCCTATCTGTCCATGTCTCCCACGTGTCTCTCTGTGTGTCTATCACCACTGTGTGTGTCTCCTATCTGTCCATGTCTCCCACGTGTCTCTCTGTGTGTCTATCACCACTGTGTGTGTCTCCTATCTGTCCATGTCTCCCACGTGTCTCTCTGTGTGTCTATCACCACTGTGTGTGTCTCCTATCTGTCCATGTCTCCCACGTGTCTCTCTGTGTGTCTATCACCACTGTGTGTCTCCTATCTGTCCATGTCTCCCCCGTGTCTCTCTGTGTGTCTATCACCACTGTGTGTGTCTCCTATCTGTCCATGTCTCCCACGTGTCTCTCTGTGTGTCTATCACAACTATGTGTGTGGCTCCTGTACGACGCCACGTGTCTCTCTATCCACTCCCCTCTCTCCAGTGTCTGTCTGTGTCTCTGAGTCTCCCTCCTCGCGTGTACACCTCTGTGTGTCTCCTCTCTCCCCGTGTCTCTCCTCGTGTCTCCGGTGTCTTCCCGGTGTCTCTCCGTGTCTCTCCCCGTGTCTCCGGTGTCTTCCCGGTGTCTCCCCGTGTCTCTCCACGTGCGTGTGTACGCGTCTCGCCGTGTCCCCCCAGCCTTCCCACGTCTGCACCGTGTCTCCCCTCCCTGTCTCTCGCCGTGTCTCCCCATGTCTCCCCGTGTCCCCCCTCCCTGTCTCTCGCCGTGTCTCCCCATGTCTCCCCGTGTCTCCTCATGTCTCCCCCTGTCTCTCCCCCTGTCTCTCGCCATGTCTCCCCTTGTCCCCACGTGTCTTCCCCTTTCTCTCGCCATGTCTCCCCATGTCCCCCGTGTCCCCACGTGTCATCCCCCGGTCTCTCCCCCTGTCTCTCGCCATGTCTCCCCGTGTCCCCACGTGTCTTCCCCTGTCTCTCCCCCTGTCTCTCGCCATGTCTCCCCGTGTCCCCACGTGTCTTCCCCTGTCTCTCCCCCTGTCTCTCGCCATGTCTCCCCGTGTCCCCACGTGTCTTCCCCTGTCTCTCCCCGTGTCTCACCCGCGTCCCCCCGCCTGCGTGTGTACACGTCTCTCCGTGTCCCCACGTGTCTCCCTCCGTGTCCCCACGTGTCTCCCGCCGTGTCCCCACGTGTCTCCCTCCGTGTCCCCACGTGTCTCCCTCCGTGTCCCCACGTGTCTCCCGCCGTGTCTCTCGGCCGCGTGTGTCCCCTGTGGTGTCGTCTCTCGGCATTCCGTTCTTACCTGCGAGCCTGCGCGGCGCTTGCTGTTTCACTCGGGGCATGATGCTGCTGCTGCTGTCTGCCGGTCTGCCGCTCGATGCATGTGTCCCAGCATAGCACGCGGGGCACAGCCGAGGAGGGGTGTAGCAGGCAGAGGAGGAGACGCAGCCGCCGCTTCGCCCGATCTCCCCCCACAAGGGGGGCTCTCTCCTCTCTCGTCGTCGTCGTTGTCGTCTCTTGCCCGCAGCTTCCTTCCTACAGCGGGGCTCGAATCGGGCCCCGGGGCGCGATGTCCGCCTCTCTCCGCGTGTCTCTGCGTCTCTGTGTATCTCTGTCTCTCTCCCTGTGCCCGTGTGTTGTTGTCTGTTGCCTGCACACGTTGAGTGAAGGAGGCTGTCTCGGGCGGATCGCGGTGCAGTCGGTAGCCTCTCTCCGCTCTCTCTCTCTCGACGCCGCTCCCCTTACCTCGCCCGCTCTCTCCCCTCTCTCGCCTCCCCACGTCCCTCGCCGCGCTCTCGCACGCCACGGCGTGGGGCCCCGAGCGGGAGGGAGGGAGGGAGGAGGGGAGGAGGAGGCGGGGGGAGGCAGGGAGGAGGGGAGGGAGGAGGAGGCAGGGAGGGAGAGGGCGAGGGAAGGGAGGGAGGAGGCGGCAGCGCGCGTTGGGCGCGGTGATCCCTGCCAGTCAACGGAGCCGAGTCAATCAGCCAGCCTCGACCACTCCCATCGAGACATCACTCCCACACAGCACCATCACTCCCACACAGCACCATCACTCCCACACAGCACCATCACTCCCACACAGCACCATCACTCCCACACAGCACCATCACTCCCACACAGCACCATCACTCCCACACAGCACCATCACTCCCACACAGCACCATCACTCCCACACAGCACCATCACTCCCACACAGCACCATCACTCCCACACAGCACCATCACTCCCACACAGCACCATCACTCCCACACAGCACCATCACTCCCACACAGCACCATCACTCCCACACAGCACCATCACTCCCACACAGCACCATCACTCCCACACAGCACCATCACTCCCACACAGCACCATCACTCCCACACAGCACCATCACTCCCACACAGCACCATCACTCCCACACAGCACCATCACTCCCACACAGCACCATCACTCCCACACAGCACCATCACTCCCACACAGCACCATCACTCCCACACAGCACCATCACTCCCACACAGCACCATCACTCCCACACAGCACCATCACTCCACAACACCCACACAGCACCATCACTCCCACACAGCACCATCACTCCCACACAGCACCATCACTCCCACACAGCACCATCACTCCCACACAGCACCATCACTCCCACACAGCACCATCACTCCCACACAGCACCATCACTCCCACACAGCACCATCACTCCCACACAGCACCATCACTCCCACACAGCACCATCACTCCCACACAGCACCATCACTCCCACACAGCACCATCACTCCCACACAGCACCATCACTCCCACACAGCACCATCACTCCCACACAGCACCATCACTCCCACACAGCACCATCACTCCCACACAGCACCATCACTCCCACACAGCACCATCACTCCCACACAGCACCATCACTCCCACACAGCACCATCACTCCCACACAGCACCATCACTCCCACACAGCACCATCACTCCCACACAGCACCATCACTCCCACACAGCACCATCACTCCCACACAGCACCATCACTCCCACACAGCACCATCACTCCCACACAGCACCATCACTCCCACACAGCACCATCACTCCCACACAGCACCATCACTCCCACACAGCACCATCACTCCCACACAGCACCATCACTCCCACACAGCACCATCACTCCCACACAGCACCATCACTCCCACACAGCACCATCACTCCCACACAGCACCATCACTCCCACACAGCACCATCACTCCCACACAGCACCATCACTCCCACACAGCACCATCACTCCCACACAGCACCATCACTCCCACACAGCACCATCACTCCCACACAGCACCATCACTCCCACACAGCACCATCACTCCCACACAGCACCATCACTCCCACACAGCACCATCACTCCCACACAGCACCATCACTCCCACACAGCACCATCACTCCCACACAGCACCATCACTCCCATCCACATCACTCCCACACAGCATCCACATCACTCCCATCCACATCACTCCCACACAGCACCATCACTCCCACACAGCACCATCACTCCCACACAGCACCATCACTCCCACACAGCACCATCACTCCCATCCACATCACTCCCACACAGCACCATCACTCCCATCCACATCACTCCCACACAGCACCATCACTCCCACAGAGCACCATCACTCCCATCCACATCACTCCCACACAGCACCATCACTCCCATCCACATCACTCCCACACAGCACCATCACTCCCACACAGGACCATCACTCCCATCCACATCACTCCCACACAGCACCATCACTCCCACAGAGCACCATCACTCCCATCCACATCACTCCCACACAGCACCATCACTCCCATCCACATCACTCCCACACAGCACCATCACTCCCACACAGCACCATCACTCCCACACAGCACCATCACTCCCACAGAGCACCATCACTCCCACACAGCACCATCACTCCCATCCACATCACTCCCACACAGGACCATCACTCCCACACAGCACCATCACTCCCATCCACATCACTCCCACACAGCACCATCACTCCCATCCACATCACTCCCACACAGCAGCATCACTCACAGCCACATCACTCCCACACAGCACCATCACTCCCATCCACATCACTCCCACACAGCACCATCACTCCCATCCACATCACTCCCACACAGCACCATCACTCACAGCCACATCACTCCCACACAGCACCATCACTCCCACACAGCACCATCACTCCCACACAGCACCATCACTCCCATCCACATCACTCCCATCCACATCACTCCCACACAGCACCATCACTTCCACACAGCACTATCACTCCCACACAGCACCATCACTCCCATCCACATCACTCCCACACAGTACCATCACTCCCACACAGCACCATCACTCCCACACAGCACCATCACTCCCATCCACATCACTCCCACACAGCACCAGCACTCCCATCCACATCACTCCCACACAGCACCATCACTCCCACACAGCACCATCACTCCCACACAGCACCATCACTCCCACACAGCACCATCACTCCCATCCACATCACTCCCACAGCACCATCACTCCCACATCACTCACATCCACATCACTCCCATCCACATGACTCGCTCACAGCAACATCACTCCCATCAACATCACTCCCACATCACTCCCCCCCCACGTGCTGACCAAGTCACACGTGGGGGGAGGTCCCCCCACTCCGCCTGAGCGGGCCGCGGAAGCGAAGCGGCGAGCCGATGGAGGCCGTCAGGGTGCAACGACGGGGGTCAGGGGGTGGCCAGCACCACGCCGGGCTGCCTTTGAATCTTCCGGTGGCGATGTTGTACACGGAGCAGCGCCGCGGTGTGAGAGGCCCAGGACCGGTGCAGGGGAAATCGTCACCGGGGTCGGGAAGCCGTGAGCGGGAATCGACCTCTGGTGGTGCCTGTTGGGCGAGCGAGCACGCACGCACAGACACGCA